CAGCCTCTGTTTCTGACTTTGAAATCAGCTCCTCCCAGCTCAACATGGGAAGGGAGTCCAGCCAGCCCTTATTGGCTCTCAGAGATGGAATGGGCCTCTGGAAACATCTAGTCCAGAGAGTCCCAGATTTGGGCATTTCACTGACCACAAAATTTCAGAACAAATTTGGGGGGCTGCCAATGTTTTGTTTTCACAGGTTAGGGCACTCTGTACCGTCTGCTATCACTACCTCTTTCAAAAACACAGGACATTCTGGGGCGCCTGGGTGGCTCAGATGGTTAAGCGTCTGCCTTCGGCTCAGGTCATGATCCCAGTTTCCTGGGATCAAGCCCCACGTCGGGCTCCCTGCTCAGCGGGGGGCCTGCTTCTCCCCCTTCCTCTGCTTCTCCCCCTGCTCATATTCTCTCTCTATCTCTGTGTCTTGAATGAGTAAATTTAAAAATCTTAAAAAAAAAAAAAACCACAGGACATCCTAATGAAAAAATTAAGAGGATCTAATCTTTGTAATAAATGATAGTCCTTAAATTGTACTTAAATACATGAGGGAAAAAATGCAACAAAACCATGACAACGAACTTGATCATAGTTCAGGACTGATTAGAATCACAGAGCAGAGTCAGAAAACTGAGCTCAAAGATGAGAAAGAAGCCCACCCCAGGTGACCTAGTACCTTAATCCCCAGAGTTGGGACAAGAGCCTAATTATTGGTCTAGGGTCACTCCAACATTAGGACTGGGCCCTCAGTGTGGCAGGCAATCGCCGTCACTGTCCCTGGCTGAGTCTGTTCCGGATCCTTCTCATCCCACCAGGGCCCGCTCCCTGGTAGATGGCTCCCACATCACCAAGAAGGTAAAGCATACGTAAACACTTTGGCCTTCTCTCCTCTCCAACCCAGAATCTTCCTGGATCTCCAGCCATTTTCTCTCCTTTCCCATGTTCTCCCACAAGGCAAGCCCTTCCTCCTGCGCAGGGCCAACTTCCCTGTTGTGTGTCCCCCATCCTCCCAACACACACTTCCCCTGCCTCCTTCCCCCTTCCCGTCAGACCCCCACCTCTGTCTTGCATCATTCACTCTTCTCCACTGGCCCCTTGTCTCCAGCATATAAACATGCTCAACTTTCTGTACTGTCGTTTAAAGTTCCTTCCAGGGTGCCTGGGTGGCTCAGCCGGTTAAACGGCTGCCTTCGGCTCAGGTCATGATCTCAGGGTCCTGGGATCAAGCCCCACGTCGGGCTCCCTGCTCAGTGGGGAGTCTGCTTCTCCCTCTACCCCTCCCCCTGCTCGTGATCTTGCTCTCTGACAAATAAATAAAATCTTTAAAAAAAATTTCCTTCCAAAGTTCACAGAAAAAGAAATCAAGATGGCTTTTAAACACACGAAAAACTCTGAAGGAAACTCCATCGGAGAAATGCAACGTACTATCATGAGTTCTCATTTTTTCCACTTAGCTTGGTAAAGGTCAGAAAATTCAAGGCGGCCCAGCATTAGTGAAGAAATAGGGGACTGGCTTTGCAGTCCCTTGTTGGTGGGATAAATCGGCACGAATTCATGTTTGGAGGAAAACGTGACAATCTTTCTGAATTTAAGATGCACGTACTCACGTATGAGAGGTGTCCTGCTGGTTGCATTCGTGGTGGCCCCGGGCTGGAAACAGTCCTGATGCCCATCCGCAGAAGATGGGCCAGTGCATCATGGCATGTTCTGCCTCGAGGACAAATGAATTCCGATTACGTGTGACTACATGCTAGACCCCAAAGAGAACTGTAGGATTCTCTCGGGACAAGTTTCAATACATGCAGAAATCTCCTCTGGTGTTGGAAGCCATGATCAGGGTTATCCTGGGGGGGATCGGGGGGGGGGCCCTCCTAGGATGCTGCTACTATTCTGTTTCTTGATCCAGGTGCCAGTGACATCAAGTGTGTGCCTTGTGCAAATTCAGTGAGTGGTACCCTTACGTTTCCACGTTCTCCTGGATCCGTACTGTGCTTCACTGACGTTTACTGAAAGGAAAAAGGAGAGAAAAGAAATGCAAGGGCAGTTAACCCAGCAACTCCAGTCGCAGGAGGCGATTCTGTAGGTGTCCTCGAACATGGGCAAACAATGCTTGGACATCACGTCCTGGCAAGCTGGACATAACCTGAACAGCCCGCTGATGTAACCAGGAGGAAAGTAAGCTCTGACACATTTGTATAATGGACCATCAGTTAACCCTTACAAAGCACGAGACTGATGTCTGTGAACGGAGAGGTAACACCCTCTAAGACACGTGGCGAAATCAGCAAGTGAGGTGCAGAAGGTGCACAGAACACTGTCCGCTGGGTAAGAGCACGTTTGCACAGAGACTCTGTCGGCAAAGTCACACAGGAAGGTGGTGGTGGTCTGCTCAGTGGCGGTTGTCCGTGTCCACAACCAGTCTGTCCACACTCCGTCTGAGGGTCTCAGTGATGTCTCTGAGTGAATGACTTGTAACGGTCTGTAGTTTACAAACATGTCACTATTCCTCTGACTCCACGCGGGACCATCATCCAGGATGTGGCAGGAACCACAGCTTCGCGTGCATGTGTGAGAAGAAAGGCTTCATGGAGAAGCAGGATCTGGGTAGAGGTGAGGGAGAAATAAGGACGGACCAGCAGGAGCAAAGGCCTGTCGGTCTGTCCGTCCGTAACACGGGCTAGGCAAGGGAAGGACGGGGCCTTATACTTGAAGAGCCCTGAGCCAGCCTGCTGTCCAAGTTTCCAGGGGTTCCTGCTGCCCAGGGAGCAGGCACAGAGCCTGATGTGGGAGAAGCTCACACACCACACTCACGGCCAGCAGCTGTCATCTCGTATGCGACAGAGACATGGCCAGCCACGTGACTTAGCCACACTGCCACGGCTGGGATTTGGATCCAAGTCCGACTCCCAAACCCTGCACTTAGCATTCTGCTGAGCTGTCCTGCTGTATGGCAGTCAGGGAGGGCTTCACTGAGGAGTCACGCAGTCCTACGGAGCCAAAGTGGAGAAGGGTTGCCGTGTTCCATGTAGAAGGTACACCGTGTGCAAAGCAGAAGAGAATGACGTGACCTGACGTTGTTGGGGGGTGGGGTGTGGTTGCACGCACAGAGTTCTGTATTAGTGCAGTGGAGGGGGGACAGCAAGAGAATAAGGGATTGGGGGAACTGGTTGGCATGATGCAGGAAGCTCTGGCCCAGGCTGGTTATGCAGAGTCATGGACTCTTGCCTAAGGAGCGAGGTTCAGTCCTGTAGCTACTTGGCTTCCAGCTGAGAGTTTGCATACTGGCTTGGTACTGTCTCTCCTTCCAGAAGATCATTCTAGCAGTGAGATGAAGGGCGGATGGTAAGCAATGAGGCTGGAGGCAGGGAGACCTGCTGGGAGGCAGTGGAAACAACTCAGGTGACAGAGGACGGTGGCCTGGGCCGGGCACGAGTGGGTGATGAGAAGAAGCTAGCGATCTGAGAGAGAGTCAGGAAGAAGAAGGGCATGAAGTAATTGGCAAAAGGAACCAAGTGCAGGAAAGGGAAGGGTCCAAGTTGACTCTGCTCTCTGGGTGAAGTATCAGGGTATCTGGCGATGCCCTTCCCATAGATGAGAAATCCAGATTTGGGTAGACTGTGAGTTCAGTCTCAAGGACAGAGAATTAGAGGTGTCTGCAGGATGTCCAAGTTGGGGGGAGCGAGGGGTAGAAGGTGCTTGCCTTTATTCACTCCTTCAACCAATGGTTACAGTGTGCCTGCGGTGAGTCCGGCACCAGGGGTTCGCAGGGACGCACACAAGCTCCCCAACCTAGGGAGGGGAGGCAATGAACAAAGAACTGAAGGAACAGAAAAGTGACAGGCCCTGAAATGTGCCAGAGTGGGCCTGAAGAAGAAATGGAGAGTAGTTGGTCAGCTTACCTCCCCCTACCCAAGCGGAGCAGAACTGTGAGGAGGATCAGCCGCCAGACCCCTGGGCCTCCCCTGCTGCCTTACCAGGAGGCCCTGCATGCTCTTGTGGCCTGTCCCTTGGGCCCAGGGCTTCTCTAGCTCAGAGCACAGCCCCCACAGCGCAAGCACGGATCCTCTACTTTCTCCTGCAGTTCGCTTTTAGGCCAAGGACTCCTCCCGGCGGCCTCTGCACCTCGGCTGCACCCACCCGTATCACAGCTCGGCAGCTGTGGGCCGTGTGGGCGCAGGAAGGGCTGCCCCACGCTGAGCTGCAGGCTGTAGGGGCACACGTAAACACAGCCTGGCCCCTGATCGGCAAGAACTTAGAGCTGCAGAAGGGGGTAAACCACACCCAAGTAGAAGGGGGAAGAAAGATGCCAGTGGGTATCTCTCTCATTCAAGCCAGAGGAGTCCCAGAGGGGGTGACGCTTACACGGGGTTGGGAAGAATGGAGGGTGTCAGCAGGCACCTTTCAGATCTTGGTTCACCCTACCCCCACTTAAAAGAGTGGAAACTGGGGCCCAGAGGTGCCTGGGAAGGGGCGTCAAAGGCGGACCCACGTCTAGAAGCTTGGGTTCTGGGTGCCTGCAGAAAGGAGCCACAGATGCAGAAATGTCACCTGGAGCCAGCCAGCTTTCAAAACTCCTCCCCATGGGGGAAGCACTCCTAGGAGCCAACCGGAGATAAATTAAAAACAAAAACAAGCAAGCAAAACCTGGTGGGTTCCCTCTACGGGACGAATTCTCTCCATGGGGGCCTGCACTTGGGCAGGGCGCGGGCGGGACCCCTTTAAGTACGACCCCCCCCTCCCCAGCCAGTCCTGCCCAGGGACTTCCCCGGCCCCATCCGCACCGCCCATCCCTCTGGCCGCAGCCGCCGCTGCCGCCGGGACCTTTCCCCTACTTTCCAGGCCCCCC